CAGGATTGGACTTTTATTGCGCGGTTTTTAGGTTTGGGAATTATGATGTCGAATTGTTCTCCCAAGCTCTTACTGCCCACTTCAAAAATTCGCCCACTAAAGTTTCGCCCTTTCAAACAGAGCTTTTAATGGAAAGGCTGTGAGGACGGACTATGGTGTGGCGTAGAGTAATGCGCCAATTTTCTGGATGCCATCATTAATTGCTAATGCTAGTTTCTCCAAGCGGCCAAGTACCTCGTTTCGGCTCCCAACAATGTCTTGCTGACATAAAAGAGGCAAGTGTTGTATTCCTTCTGCCACGAACCAACACTGCGCTGACTGCGTGCTAGAGAGACTGCCAGGTACAAAAAAGAGTTCTCACCAGGTACTGGAGCAGTAACGAGTAGTGGTGGGAAGACATGTACTCCTTCAAGCTTTCCAGAGCTCTGGTCGCATTCCTATCCCATTCAAACTTGGCCTTTAAAGCTTGGAAGAATGGTCGTAGTCTGTCTGATGACCTGCTTATGAACCGGTTGAGTGCAGCCGCCATGCCAGTGAGATTGTTGCACTTCTTTGACTGAGTTTGGTCTCTCCAACTCCTGGATTGCTTTAATCTGAGAGGGGTCTGCTTCTATACCTCGGTTGGTCACCAGGAAGCCCAAGAATTTGTCAGATCCACTCCGAAATGCGCATTTGGACGCATTGAGGCGCAACTTGTGTTTCTTCAGGATCTGGAACATCTCGCCTAGATCTTTAAGATGGTCATTCTCATCCTTGCTTTTGACCACCATATCGTCGATGTAAGCCTCCATTGTTCTGTCCTAACAATGGTTCAAACATCTTAGTGACCATCCTTTGAATGTCGCCCCTGCGTTCTTTAGGCCAAACGGCATGACCTTGTAGCAATATAAACCCCCTTGGAGTGTGAAGGATGTGACCTCCTGGTCTGGTTCATGCATGGCGATCTGGTGGTAGCCTCTGTACGCATCCAGAAAGCTAAGTCGGTTATGTCTGCCGTTAGGTTCCACCAGTTGATCTATCCTTGGTTAGAGGAAAGCTATCTTTTGGGCATGCCTTTGTTGACTTTTTGTAGTCGACGCAAGACACGCCATTTACCATTTCTTTTTTTGCACTTACAACTGTGTTGGAGATCCACTTTGGGTAGTGCACTTCTCTTATTGCTCCTGCCTCTAGCAGGTTGCCTACCGTCTTCTGCCACTATTTCGGCGTGGTGGAGTGCCGACCTGCGTGTGCGTTGAATGACTGGTCTGGCGTGGGTGGACATTGAGTTTGGTGACTGATGAAGTTTGGGTCAATACCTGGCATGTCGTAGGGTGTCCAGGCAAACACTTTCGATATTAGAGGTCAAGAATTCCAAGACCTCTGATCTCTCAGCGCTGGACAACGATGAGCCAAGCAAGAAGAACTTATCCGGGTTCTTCTCATCTATTTTTACCTCCACCAAATCCTTCACCGCTTTCTGATCAGCCTCTTTGCCGACGTCTGCGAATAGTTCATTACTTTCTGGTTCTTCCACCGAATTGGCAGCTCGGCTTCCATTCGCTGTGGCGAAGCATTGTTTTGACATGATCTGATTGCCATAGACTTCTTCAATTATGCCGGTGTCGTTGGGGAACCGCATTACCTGATGGTATGATGACGCTACCGAACGCATGGCATGCAGCCATGTTCTGCCCAAGATGATGTTGTATGTGGAGGGGACCTTCAATACCCAGAACTCCACTTGTTTTGTTACACTCCCTGCTCTGACTGGAAGGATTATTTTGCCGACAGGCCACTCTGGCATGGAGTTGAATCCAATCAGGGGAGAAACTGCAGGCGCCAAGTCTTTGTCTTGCAGCTTCAGTTGTTTGAATGTGTCGTAGTACATGATCTCGCATGAACTATCTTGGTCAATCAGAATCCGCTTGACGTCAAAATCCTTGACTCGGAGAGTGACGACCAAGGCATCATTATGGGGGCAATATATTCGATCCAAGTCCTTATCTGAAAAAGGACATGACATTTGTTGCCTCTGTCTTCCCCTTCTTGGCGGCAGGTTGGGCACTTAACACTTCCCTAAAGTGCTCAGCCTTCTTTATCGATCCCCTGAGCTCGCATACACGCTCAGGTTCAAAGACTCCATGTATTACATTGATGATGCCTTGTGGTGGGGCGTCGATTGGCATTCTGTTGGGATGGTCATTATGATCTTGGGGGGCCGGTTGCGCTCCTCCTTCAATGTATTTGTCCAAGTGGCCTGCTGCCACCAATTCTTCCAAGTTCTGTCTCAGTGGTGTGCAATTCTCAGTTCGGTGCCCCTTTTCTTTGTGGAAGGTGCACCGTGATCTGTCGTCGTAATTTTTCTGAGCTTCCCCTAGCTTGGCTGGCCACTTGACAAAAGGTTCGTCTTTTATTTCGCTCAGAGTCCGATATATTGGTTTTTTGAACACTGTTGTTATGGCAGTGCGGATTCTTAACCATCTTTTGTCTGGGTCTTCTCCGTTATCTCGTCTGCCACGCCCGTTTTTATTCTGCCGATCTACTGTATTGACCTTTGCTGAGGTCTTCTTTTCTGGTACTGCGGTCGCGCTTGATTTTGCCTTGGCACGCGCGCCATCCTCTTCTACCCTGATGTACTGATGCACTCTCTCCATCAGGGCCTCCATGGTGAGGGGTGGCGTCATTGTAATTGAATCCCTTAGTCTATTCCCTACTGGTAGGCCTCTTTTATATTGCGCAATGGCCAGATTGGTGAGGCAGTCTCCAATCTGGTTGAATGTCTCCCAGTAGCGACTGTTGTAAGATCTGAGGGTCTCTTTTTCACCCATGTCGATGGAGAGTAACTGGTCTATCTCCACCGATGTTTTAGTGTTTGTTTGAAACCTTGTTACGAACGCTTCTGCCAATTGGGCCCAGGAGGCTATGCTGCCCTCTGGGAGCTTTTCGAACCAGGTCAAGCCTAGGTCGCCAAGACTTGACAGGAAGGGTATGCACATTAAGGCCTCGTTTCGCCTGTACACAGCCATGACTTGGCGAAAGTGGCTCAAGTGTGAATACGGGTCCGTCTTCCCTTCATATGTAGTGAATTTCGGCTGAAGGTAGCCTGATGGTAGGGGCGCGTTTTCGATTGCTGGAACAAACGGCGAAGTTTGTAGTCTTGCCAATGCTTTGTCCATTGGTTCGTAGGCCGGTCGCGGTATTGGCATTCCAACCTCGACGCTTCCATGCGTCTGAGGAGCCAACCGCTGTAAGGCCGAAACTCGTTGTGGATCCCTTGCCCTGGCATCCTCCTTGCATCGTGCTTTTTCTTCGAGTACGGTTCGTAAGTCGGATGACCTGGGCAGCTCTGTCTGTCTAGATCTGGTTTGGTGTGAATGTGAAGGCCAATACGTGCTTCCTTCAGTATATGATCTTTCGGATCTCGTCCTCTCAGACCTGGAGTGATGAGTCCTGGAAGATAAGGAATGAGTGTCGCCTGTCCTGAGGCTTCTGCTCCCTCCTTGGGAGGGTGTAGTATTCCTACTACGATTCTCTGAGTGGCGAGGGGGCGTCTTGTGCTTGCGCCCATCTCCTGTCGCCACATCTTTAGTCTTCATCTGGCGTTTCAAAGCCTCCATGTTCGCCGCCATTTTCCGAATTAGTTCATCTTGCTCCTTTACGCGATCTTCCAGGGCTTGAGGATCAATCCTCCTCCTTTGCCTGTCAGGACTTTTAGAGTGACAAGGGCTGTTATTCCGCCTTCCCCTGCCACTCCTCCTGGAGTTATGTTGTTGGGGCTCCAGATCTGCCATAGGAGGGACAGAGGGTAATCCTTCTCGCCTTGCGCCCCCGTCTGGAGTTAGCCCGTCGACGGCGGACTGCGGTAGTTCTTCAATGTGTGCCATTGATTGAAAAAAGGAGAAGCTTAGTCAAGAGGTTTTTGTTCTTGTCTGTTCTTCCCACAGACAGCGCCAATACTTCGGGGAGGAAATAATTCTCCTCGTATAATCCTGTTGACTAAATAATTTTTTAAATGTAAATAGAATCACCCAACTTCGACCCAAACTGAGTCCATCCTAAGATTTGTCCACCCCTACAACAAATCCAAATATAATAATTAAATTTATATTTAAATTTGAGAAAAATTCAATCATTTTATTTTAAAATGAAAGAGAATAACTTATTCTCAGCACAACCGTGAACTCCTGATTTACCGTTGTCCACTAACAAAATGATACGTGTCCTTAATTAACGTGGAAATTCAACGGCATTTAAAGGCAGTTCAATAACAAAAACAAAAATAAAAACAAAAACAAAAAATGAAAAAAAAAAAAAAAGAAGAAGAAGAGAGCATTTAAAGAGTTCTATGATCCTGTCAACATCTCGGAATAAATCTATCGTTCTTGAACCGGAGTAACTTTAACAGCTTGGGCCGGAGTATCTTTTATCTCTCCTGGGCCGGAATAACCTTGCGGCCTTTTCACCAAGTCCTTGGTGCTTTGGGCCACGAAGCCCACCACATAGCTCGGCCCAATTTTTACCAAAAATTACCCTCTTAATTCATATCTTCAACAAGTATGATGTGATTATAAATTATTAAAAACAAAAAAAAAAGTTATTGAAGATGGGGCAAAGCGATTTGACGCAGCGGTGAATAAGTTATTTTAATAATTTTGTAAATTTTATAAGAAATGTATGAAAATTAAAAAAAAATAATGTGATGATTTATAATAATTTTTTTAATTTTTATGTATTTATTTATTTATTAAAATTAGGGCAAATTACATATACACCCCTCGAGGTTTGGCTAAATTACAAATACCCCTGAGGTTTGAGAAATTACAAATTCCCCCCTGAATGCTATATTTGCATAAGAAATTAGGGGGTAATTTGTTATGAAATATAAACCTCAGGGGGTAAATTGTTATGAAAATACAAACCTCAGGGGGCGGGATGTAATTTCCGAAATCTCAGGAGTATCTGTAATTTAACCAAATCTCGAGGGGTGTATATGTAATTTGCCCTAAAAATTAAGACAAGTGAGAGAGTACAGACAGACAATTTGCGACCTGGACTGCTTCTCCGACTGTGACTCTCTCCCTCTCTCTCAATAGATAAAATTCCCAGATATTATTGTGCATTGAATTGTGCCTTTCCTCTTCTTACTCTTCACCCCCCAAAGATCTAGACCGAGATCATTTGCTGTAAACAGATGGACCGAAGACGAACCGAGACTCTTCAGAGTCAACTCTACGTTCGCCAGTGGAGCAGCGAATCTAGCGCCACCGCCGCTTCCTCCTCTCCGGCAATGTCGCCGTCGCATCACCACCACTCTCGCTCTTCTTCCGCCACCGGCATTTCCACCTTCAAGCGCAATCAGACCTTCGCCGCCAAAGCCGCCTCCGTCAGGCTCGCTCAGGTCATGGCTTCTCAAACGGCTAACAACAGCGATGAAGATGAAGATGACGACGATGACAACTACAATATCATCGACCGTAACTATAATTCTTCGATTCTGTCTGCTAGATCTTCCTCCCTTGCGGTATTATTTTTTCAGTCCGCTTGAGTTGTGTTTTGATTGCTATTTGAGTTTGATGTTTATGCGTGATTATTTTTGATACATTATATTTTTTTTCTTCTTAATTGTGGCTTTTTATCGTGTTTTAACTCTTTCCTGGAGTGAACTTTGAGAAATCAACCGCGAAATTGTGTTTGGATTCCTCGTGCAACTGAATTTTGCAGTAGTTTTTTGTTTTTTTGTCTCGAGGGAACAACAGAGCCGTTTTGGATTGGATTTTTTTTCTTTTGTGAATTGCAATTCAAGGTTATGTTTTGTCTAGATTCAGTACAGCTTCGTAATCTCACAGAGAGAGAGAGAGAGAGAGAGAGAGATGCAGGTTCATTGTATTGTGGATGGTGTGTTAAGTTTACATAAGCTTCCGAATCTCTTTGAGAGAGAGAGTAATGCAGGTTCATAGTAGTCTGGATTGTGGTTGTGGATGTTGCTGTAAATTTAAATGCAGTAAAAAAACTAAGGAATTAAACTGGTCTGTGAATGTTTTCAGATTTTTTAGCATGGATGATTATGCTTAATTCTTATATTTCATCAACATATGTGTATTATGCTGAATTTTGAGAAATCAACCACAAATTCTGTTTGGACTCCTTGTGCAACTGAATTTTTCAGTAGCTTTTTTGTCTCGAGCAAAACGACAGATCTGTTTGGGATTGGAATTTATTTATTTTTTGTTTCTTTTCTGAATTGCAGTTCCTGGTTATGATTTGTTGTGATCTTAGTTTTTGTTCTACTTCAGTACAGCTTCCTTTCTGAGAGAGAGAGAGAGAGAGAGAGAGAGAGAGAGAGAGAGAGAGAGAGAGAGAGAGAGAGAATAATGCAGGTTCACCGTAGTCTGGATTGTGTTGTGGTTGTCGATGTTGCTTTAAATTTAAAGGAAGTCAGAAAAAAAAAAAAAAAGGAATTAAACTGCTCTGTGAAAGTTTTCAGATTTTTAAGCATGGATGGTTAGGCTTAATTCTTATATTTCTTCAATTTATGTCTATATAAAGCTTGTTTGAGGTGATGATGGTAGTTCAACAAGAAGGCTAATTGGATTTTCTTGTATTTTAATTAGTTAGCACAGAACTTTGTAGAGGAAAATCCTTCATTCCACTCAACATCAGCTGGAAGGCCATTAATGTTTATTCCTACAACTTCTGCAGTACCACCTAGTAGAACATCAGTGAAGACTCCAATGCCTGTACCACCAATTGATCCTCCTACTTATAGGATAAAAGAGACAAGGTAAAAAGAAAGAATAATATGGGTTCCCACACACAAATTATGACTGCATACTCATTACATATGCGATGGAAAATTGCACTTGTAAAAGTGGCAGCATTTGCTAAAACCATTGGTTTGAGTAAAAAAAAATAAAAATTCATGAATCGTTGGAATAGATTTGACGTCTTGTTTCTCACCATAGGAAATACCTGTATATGTCCATGCGTACGCCCACTTGCATGTGCTCATGTGTGAGCTTTCTAGGTTGACTGATATTGAGTGATACTGGTGCTTATGCAATAGTGTGTCTTTGATATGGTTCTTTTATTGGATTGGGTGAATATAACTACTGATATAAATTGCAGATTCTCATCAGATATGGGGCAAATGTACTTGAAAGATACAGGGGATCAACGGGAAGCTTCTACCCTTCGTGATGAAGTACGTTAATCACACGTATCAACTTTATAAATTTCTGTCAACGTGCTAAAATTAACATGTGTATGCATATATATATATATATTTTTGGTTGTGAGTGTTGAAAATTATACATCTTTAGTTTGTTGTTTAGAGATATAAAGAAGAGGATATTATGTTTTGCTATGCTTGAAGATTCTCTTGTCATGCTAATGTCTGCTCATTCTGCAGCTTGATATGCTGCAAGAAGAAAATGAGAATATTATTGAAAAGGTGCAATTTTGTTTTTGTATTTTTGCTTTTATTTTTTTTTGGTCCCCAATAAATAAGCCACACACACCCTAAATGATGTAGCTTGTTTAAAGTTCAAACATGCTATCTATAGCAAGTAACATGTAGTTTAAATTCTGTTTTACAGCTCAGGATTGCAGAACAGGGGTACGAGGAAGCAGAAGCTAGAGCTAGGGAGATTGAGAAACAGGTTATGTCTTTATTATCTTGTGTTGCGCATCAGAATGTAAGAATATGGCTTAGCTTCCAACTAGGAATCTTTGATTCCATTATTTTACATGTTGGGTTCCTCCTTTTGTGACAGGCATGCTTGTAGATCTCTTTATTACTTCCCAAATGGGTATTATTGCTAGGCCTGAAATTTTTGAAACAATTGTTTATTAGTCTATGGTTCTGGTAGTGATAGATTATCCCCACCCTTCAGTGCGATGATCTTCCATTTCACTTTGACATTTTTTCTTTAATGTATTTTCTATTAATTCCTTTATATTAGTGTTTCTATGATTGACTTGTCTGACTTTTGAGGTTTTCCTTATTTTTGTCCCAATTTTTTGAATTTAGGCTGAAACTCCCCTCCAATACATAGCAAATAGTTTACTTGAGTTTATCACATGAGATCTGTTGAATGAGCATGGCAATTACGTTTCTAAGAAAACATTTTGTTGCCAATAAGATACTTTTTTATTGACAATTAGGAGATTAGGTTGAATATATTGAAAGGATTTTATCTATTCCTACCAATAACCAGCTCTTTCTCAATGTGACGCTGAAACTTTGCTGCTTGATTCTGATTCATCAGGTAGCTTCTCTTGGACAAGGAGTATCTTTAGAAGCAAAATTGTTGAATAGGTATGCTGGAGTTAATAAATGTATCTTACATCTGCCTGTTTGTGTCTAATGTTTGATTGTAGTTTCATATGATTAATCACGTCTCATGTTAATCACTCCCAGAAAGGAAGCTGCATTCCGTCAAAGAGAGGTAGGGGGGACATTCGAGTTGTTTCTTCATTTTGAATGTAATCGTTTGCCAGTGAACCTCTCAATTTATTGCCTTTGGATGGGGATAAACTCAGCTTTGTACATAGGCTATGATTTGAGGGGAAAAGTTGAAATTCGTATTTACATACGGGGTTGACTTGGTGTTCTTGACTTCGCAAACCTATTGGAATCTTTCATCTTGTATATGGCATGGTATTCGAATTTTTCTGCATTCTTTTCTTTAAGCATAACATAGAGATAATTTATTTTCACAGGCTGCTGCACTTAGAGATGTAAAACAAACAAGAGACGGGGTAGATGAGGAAATTGCCTCCCTCCGCTTAGACCTTGAGGTAAAGTATGCTGCCACAAAGCAATTATTAATTTATCTTTCTGTACTTATTTTATTGGGTCTTCCACTACTGTTGCATGTTATAATTTTATGCTTTGATATTTTGCTTGAATCAGAAAGTGAAAACTGAGGCTGCAGCTGCTGTAGACCAGCTTCAGGGAACTGAAGCTGAAGTTAGAGCTCTTCGCTCTATGACACAAAGGATGGTTTTAACCCAGGGTGAAATGGTATGTATTTGCATAGTTGTTTGAAGCCCATTACTGTTATTCTTTTCAGATTAATTGCACAAGCATATTACATTGCAGGAGGAAATTGTTCTTAAGCGATGTTGGCTTGCACGCTATTGGGGTTTAGCTGCACGACATGGTAATCTACATGTTGCAATTATGGTTGCTCATTTTCATCTTTAATTATTAATTTGTTTGTTTTTTTTTTTTTTTAAATGTTCATTTTACCAACCCTAAGTAGTTAAGATTAAAAAAAGTGCAGTTGTGTTGTTTTGTCTTGTGTACTTCTACAAATTATGACAGTTTACATGTATAGACTGTATGAAGCTTTTTACGCCATCAAATCTTATATCTCTCAAAACATGCCGTCAAAAGCACTAAATTTTTTACCAAAGTGCTCTTCTTTTGTTCAATTGTCTATGTACTCACCCTTGAACTTTATAATACTTGGGTGTGGGGGTTAAGAAATATTGTGTGCATATTTTTCAATTTAGTTCTGCATTTTGTGAAGTTATCTGGAATTGACAAGGTCCTGTTGACACCTGCTTGGTCTTTATTTGTTTTAGTTTGATTGAGTGAATTCCTTTCACACTTTATCCTCTCAGATGAGATTTATTTTATCACAATGGTTCTTTGTTGTTTAGGCATCTGTGCAGATATTGCAGCATCAAAGCATGAGTACTGGTCATCTTTAGCACCTCTTCCTTTGGAAGTTGTCCTTTCTGCGGGACAAATGGCTAAAGAGGAATGCTTGGAGAAAGGTTAGCAGCAATTTCTCGTTGAAATTTCATGTGAATGTCATATTCTTTGATAAAGAAATATTTTTACATTATTATACATCTCCTTCAATCATGTTTGTATCCACAATGTTGAGCAGGTGATGAAAATCCTGAGAGGAGCAAACTCATTCAGGACTTGAATGATCTAACTGGAGAAGGAATTATTGAGAGTATGCTTTCAGTTGAAATGGGCTTGAAGGAGCTTGCATCCTTGAAGGTTTCCTTTTGAGCAGAAGATCAAAAATATATGTTCAATTTATCGTTCATTCTTTAGATAATGCTGTTCATCAGTTTTAATTTACCCAAAAGAAAACTTATACAATGAAAGTTCAGACGCAATCCCGACGGGCACCCAACAAATGTGCTAAGAAGCCATTACCTCACAAAGAGGATTTCCAAAAAAGCCACTCACAAGCCCAAAAGGCTAGGGCAAAGAAACAGAAAACCTCTTGCAACCTGAGAGGAAATAGGCACAATTAAACACAGCTCAAACCACATGTTGGTCGTCTTTAAACATGACTGTTTGACTTTCAAGTTTAATAATTTGGATCTTCTCTTTGTGCTTCTTTTGATTTTAATCCCTTGATAATGTTTGCTTCTCCACCTTTCAAAGGAGTTTATTCTCCTTCCATCTTGGTTTCATCAATCCGTTCAGCTATAACACCACCACTCAAGTCACCATCACCACTGTGCTCAGACATATGGCTCATTTAGTCATAACTCTTCACTCTCAAAATGCTATGATTCATACTGAGACCAATTCTATTGGAAGTTAGGCATCTTAAGCTTTAAATCCATAGGTCATGGGTTTATATTGGAGTTCAAATGAAGGAGTGATACAATTTCAAAGTTGATTCAACATGCTGGATAACAAAGCTGCAGACTTCAGTTTTGGGTTCACTTTGAGTTGAAAATGTATTTACTAAGAGGGATTCGAATTGCAAGCCCTATACCACTGGAAAGAACTATTAGTCTAGTTGCTAAAGCAACAAATGGTGCTTGATTTCGAGTTTTCTAGAGAGAGAGATATGGTCATTTTTCTACAAGGTGTCCAGAATCGGAGGCCTTTGATGTTTGGCTACCAAATTGGATGTCCGAAGTGGAGATCTAGAGAGCTTTTCACGTTGGAGGACATTACCAGTGGACAAGAGACCCAGATGTCCGCCCTCACATTCGGCGGTTGTGACATCAGCTTCTTAAGTTCATAAATTCGTAATTTTAACCAGAATCATAGTCTATAGGTCTCCAAAACAGAAATTCATTTGCTCGGCCAAGCTTCAATGTCAAATAATACTCTTATTACTTTCTGCAAGATTCTCTACCACCTATGAAGCACGGGTACATGTATGAGTACTGGTACTGGGTACGAAACGGGTACGTCGATACTATAAAATCCAAAAAAAGTAGGGTGCAGGTACGGCTTGGTACGCTTGTAAAAAAATATTTATTTTTAATTTGGAGTAATGTAAAAATTAATTAAATGGTTTAATTTGTTAAGATCCAGCCTATAGTTAACATTTAATGCCAAAAGTAAAGGTATATATCAAAATTAAATGTCAATATATTAAATAACTTACAAACCATAATTTAATTTTAAAATCATGGTAGACATAAAACTAAAAATAAAAAAAAAGTTTAGTGAAAGGAGTTTTATCTCTGTAATAATTGAGGTACGGTGCGGCTTGTGTATATATTAGGTACGTCTAGGTACACCAAAAATTAAGAAGAAAAAATTTGGGTACGTATTTCGTGTACCCAGTACATATGCAGAAGTACCATACGAGGAATCATATGCCAATAAGTACCCGGTATGGGTACGGCATGTTTTTCGAAGTACCCATGCTTCATAATCTACCACCCTTCTTCTTCTTCAAGTTCTTAATTGCAGTGTTTATGATATTGTAGTATTTATTTTTAGAAAGGGTTGCTATACCTACTCTCATGTTCCATATTGCTCTTTCCAAGGTTGAGGATGCTACTGTGCTTGTATTGGAACAACAATGGCGTGCAAACGCAGTTCGATCATCAGTTTCAGGTTTGTCTTGTACATGTTGCTGACATGCTTTGTGGCTGATGCCTGCTTTAATTGATAATGTCCCTTGCAGTTTGTGGTTCCTTTTCAAAACTGCTACCGGTTGCCCTGTAATTATGAATATGAGTCCTCTCTAAAAAGAGGCACTTGTGTTGCATGTGTTGCAATGTTTTTGATAATTGATTTTAGTTGTTCTTACCTGGGATTTCCCTTTCATCAAAATTAGTGTCCCAAATCAGCAGTCTCTTGAATATAGAAAAAAATATATATGTACTTTTTCTGCACTGGCCCTCCCTAATTATCTTCGTATTTGCGTTTATCACTTATGTTTAAGTATTTCACATGTGGCCCCTTTTGATCTGATTACTCTTGTTTATCCTTCCGTCAGTTTCTTCTCTGAACATTAATCTAACTGATTTTATAAGTAAAATACTTGTGCCGATATGTCTCTCATTGTAACGTACTGAACTGTATTGCTGGAAATGGGTAGTGACTCCAATTAGCCTGTTATTAATTGATGATAACAGTGAGAACACAATGTAGGTGGATAATATAGGGGCTAGGATGAAATATTAAAGAGAAGTGGGCAAATTTAAAGTTGTTGAAACATGGGTTCACCCCCGTGCAAATATCCTTATAAAATTTATTTAGCTTTCACTTTTCCAGTCTCATTTTCTTGTTTTGCATTCCATATTGTATTTTCATCATTTGAGCGTGTCATTCAATCCCAAAAAGTTGGGATATGGCCTATGTTACTTGGAACATGGATCGTTCCAGTACGTGGAACGGGAACATGGTGCACCACATGCTCTAAAATATGGTACGATATGGGGTAGACTTGTATATATTACACTTGAGAATTTAAGGTACTTCTATAGTAATTTTCCTTTTACTATTAGGCATCCAATAAAATGTAAATTTTTTTTTTTTTTCATGTAGCAAAATATTTCTATGAACATTATGGCCCATTTTTTTATGTTTTGTCTTGTCAAAACTAAACTCATCTTAGATTTTAGTTCAGTATATTTGAATTTTTTTCTCCTAACTTTTGGGATCGCTTAAGATCACTAGATTTATCATTTTGGATCGGAAGTGTACCATGTTTCGGAACATTCGTACAAATACGTAATTCGCTAGGGTATTAGTGTTTTTAGTAACATAGGATATGGCTTAATTGGGTCAAGATGACTGAGTTTAACATGTACGGTTATTTATATACATTATGTTGTGGAATCTCTTATTTGTTTTATTTTTATTTTTTTCAATTTTGAGGGTACATGTCCACTAGCCAACAATTGAATACTCAATTCTCTGGATGCTTTCGTAGCACTTTTCTTTATTGGATGATGATGTCTTTAAGATAATGTCTTAGAGTTTGTAATGAGATACAAGTCATAGTAAAAACAAAGAAAGAATGACAAAACAATAAAAATGAGGACAATTTTAAGGGATATAAGTTGGCTAATAAGGAGGTTAAAATAACAATTAGAGATACTAAATTAAAAGCCTATGACGATCTTTATTCTAGATGTTAAAGATCGAGAAAATAACATCTATAAGCTTGCTAAATTAAGAAAAAGGAAGGTAAGAGACTTTGAGGCTTAGTTTGATTTATTCTTATCAGAGTGAATTTTATTTATTATAGTTATGACTTAGAGGAAGTCTAGTGGTTAATCAGGAACAGAAATGATAAAAAAAGCCACAGATTCAATAAATGTATCAAAATACTTATTTTACCTTCTTTTTTTTGTTTTTTGTTTTTTGTTTTTTGTTTTGTTTTGTTTTGTTTTTTTGTTTTTGTTTTTGTTTTTGTTTTGTTTTGTTTTTTTTTGTACTTATTATTTTTTCCTTTCATATGCAGATATCAAGACACCTGGTGATCCGAAGTTTATGGATGCATTTGGTATGTTGTTCATGTTGCATGCTTTAGGTTTCTTTAGTGAAGTTTACTCCTGCATTTTGCATTAGAATCCATGTATGCATCCAAATTCCAGAAAAAGTACTGCCATCATTAAGTAGAGACGCAATTTTGTCAAAAGTTTTTGAGCAAGCTAATTGATGCAAAGTATAAGAAGTTCAAGGAAGACTAAATTTAGAGAAGTGATGATACTTGGACCTTGGCATAATTTCATAGAGAAATGGATAGAAATCTTCTATAATTATGTTTCTAGTATTATTAAAGTCTTATTTTATTATTATTTTTATGTTTTCTAGGATTTTTAAGGTTAGGGGTATTTTGGTAATTTTATATTTGCTGACATGGGCCGTTTGGGTTGCCCATTGGTCGACTTGTGGGTTAAGTTATTGAATTGAGTTTTATTTATGTTTTTTATTTAGTCTTAAATTAGTTTTGGAAGTTTAAGATATTATAATAGTTTCATTTTTTAGTTCTAGTTGGTTTAGGAAGTCTCCTACTCCTATATAAAGCCATGTAATGCTTATAATTGAGAGAGTTGATCTTTTATAAAAAGTTGAGAGCTTTGAAGCTTCTTTATGGGTTGTGTGATGCAATCAAACCCTAGGTGTGATGCCTAAGGAATTCTAGGAGTGATTCCTAGATCTATCTTCTTTTCTTTTTATTTCTTTCTTCAATTCCTGCAGCCTGCAGCACCCTAAACAGTGTAAAATCAGCCCCAAAAGCCTACTATTGTGGCTGTCCCTAATCATCCAGCATCACTAATGCTAGAATTTTAATTTAACAATCACCTCTGACAGATACGAGGAATTCTGTGCAAAAGTTGTATTGTATTAGTATCGCAAGCTTATCCTTCTTCATGGTTTTGCTTCATTCTTTGGTCATATCATATAATAATTGATTTTTTCTCACTTTTGTGGTCTTGCTCTGGACATGAATTTGTTTCTACAACTTGCAAGTCTTTCTCTATTTCATGGCATGTTTCTGCTAATCAAGACACTGCTGAAAGTACTTTGATTTTATTGATAATGTGGTGTGATCATATGATGTGGACTACTGGAAATCCCACTTGCAGAATGCCCCAATTTTTATTATTGAACCATTCTATTCTCCCGTTAGGCAGTCTCAAATATTTGAAAATTAGTAGAAACTTTTCTATTGGTTGCATTGTGGATCATCCAGGGGGAGCTGGTTATAACTTTGAGGTCTTTGTTCACCTGCAGAACTGAGTCCAGAAGATTCCGAGGATGTTCTTTTCAAGGAGGTCTGGGATTTCTCTCTTATTTGCCATTATTTCCACCTGAGTCACGCTAATTAATATGTTCACACTACTACAATGGCTTACTGAAGTTGCATATTTTATGGGGTCACAATCTACTGTTATTTTATTTAGTGAATTCATTTTCTTTATTTTGGTGTATAGAAACAATTTCATTTTTTTTCCCAATTATGAATGGCAGAAGTAATTTTAATCTCAACTGGGAATCCCAAAGAGTAAATTTCTGAAACTGAAGTTGCGAGTTCCATCCAGCACCAGCCTTGTCAAGGATTTGGAAATTCAGCATGCCTTGTCATGAAGAGATGTGTTACATATGCAGATTTCTTTTTTCTTTTCATCTCTATTTGCATCCCTTGCCTCCATAGAATTTCGTGCAAGAGTTAAAACTTCATGGTTTAGAATTCTTGGTCAAACAATGACCTCAATTAAGTTTTATGCACAATTTCATTTTTACTATATTATTTCTGTGCAATCTTTTCTTAGTTTAAACTTGATGGCTAATCCTGATGGCATTTTTTGTTTTGTTAATTTCACTTTTAACTTGCACAGGCATGGCTTATGTATTTTTGGAGAAGAGCTGAAGTCCATGGTATAGAAGAGGAGATTGCCAAAGAACGACTTCAATTTTGGATTAGCTGTAGCGGGCACTCACCAACCTCACATGATGCTGTTGATGGTAATTGTTACTTGACTTTAAACCCATCTTCACGCGCAGATATCAGTCATTAGTTTCAACAATGCCATTTGAAAATTTTTGGTGGGCATTGGTCATTGTCTTTGGAATTTACTTAGCTTAATTGCCTGATGTGTGTGGTGCAGTTTACATGTTACACAAACTTTCAAGTTGTCTTTCTGGAAGCAATTTTTTCAAGTCCATGCCTAGTGTTACATAGACTCTTACATTTCTCTCAATGTACCCATGTCTATTGGATATGACAATAGGTGTCCAACCCCGTACTCAAATTAGGCACTTGAATCCTCTAATCCCCACCACCCCCTTCCCCCCAGCCACACACACACACACTCAAAAAAAAATAAAATAAATAAATAAATAAAACAAGTAGAAGAAGAGAGGAAAGGAAAAAAAGCTTGCCTATGCTTGGTTCATGTTGTTTTAGCCTAGCTAGTGCTCAGCATGGTTAGTATTAACATGAAGGGTAACCCAATCTTAAATTATTCCAGCATAACCAGAAACCTTTTTTCGACAGTTGCATTCTTATGTAACAATGATGCCAAGTGCCAGCATTGAAGAAGGATACGAGAACAGAGAAAGGGGCCTCTATTTTCTGGAGCCTCTTCCTTGATGTTGCTGTCTGAAATCATGTGAAGACTATTTTCAACAATCAATTTTTTTCTCTAGGCTAGGGGTGAATAAGAAGAGAGAAAACAATATGAAAGAAGAAAATAGATGAAAGGAAGACAGAGAGGAAGACAGTAGGTGATGCCAGGAAGACAAAAAGAACTGGATAGTGTCATTTGGTTTCTTGGAACCGAATATGCTTGGATTGTTTAGGACCCTTAGTTTATGAGAGTGTTTACTTAAACCGTAGTTTGGTCACAAGGCTAGTGAGCCAATCTTTGGCCCTTGGCGGTTTAGGCTTGCTATTAATTTCAAGCTTGGTTTATTAACTAAATAAACGAACACAAACCAAACCATCCACAACCAATCCTGTGTTGTTTGTTAATCGCTCAGTTTATTTGCAGCCTACTTATTTTGTATATGTATGTGTGTATTTATTTATGTGACCTGTAGATAATAGGAGCAAGTTGGTTTCTTGAAAAAAGTTAGGTCTGTTTGCTTGTGCAGATGGATTTATTTCATTTTGAGTTGACTAATGGAAAATAATGTTAAATTTGTAAATGACTTATTCTTAAATTTTGTGTTGGTATAAAATAGAATATATTTTGAATCTCTTGTCCCTTTGGGCACATCCGATAACATTGGAACAATACAAGGAGAATAGATTGTGAATCTCACAATTTTAGATCAGATAATTCTATGTTTCAAAAGTAATGATCAAATTTAATTTTTCATTAAGTAAATTTTGTAGATATTTGAGGTATTTCTAAACACATTGAGTTATTTAATTCCTGAGTGAGGTAATATTAAAATGGCCCAATTCACATTTTGGGACAAAGTATACAAAACGTGATGTATTGATAAAATTTATGCTATTAAGCTGGGGAGTACCAACTGTGTATCCTGTAAGGTTGAGTAATAAAAATGTGATTTATGGAGATGCGTTAGCCTGTTCTTCTGAGCAATAAATTAGAAACCGGTCAAAACATATATTTTGCCCATACTAATTGGGAAGTCTAAAACATGACACAGCTTTATAACTGCAATTGTTATATTGAGATTTGAGTGAGTTGGCCACCATAACTCTCCAAGTCTCCTAAGGGCTTAGTTAGTCCTAAGGGAGAGGTCATGGATTCAACTCTTCCTAAGGGGAGTTGAATTATGAGGCAAGCACTTGGTGCTTTGCAAGGGTGAGGAGGCTAACTCTCATAGGTGCTAATTTAACCACTAACAGCTGACTTTTGCTGATAAATTATTATTATTTTTTTTGGTTGAGATTTGAGTATTTTTTTTTAGTTATCATGTGCAATACAGCATTCCCTTTTCGTCATCTATTGTTACTTGCTTGCTTGTTTGCTTATGGTGAGTGGATTATGTTTCAGTTGAGCAAGGTTTGATGGAGCTGAGAAAATTGGGTATTGAGCAACGACTCTGGGAAGCAACCCGCAGAGAAATTGAGCAGGACCCGTCCATTGCCGTTGCATGAAACTCTTCTATGCAATTGGAAAACTTTGCTTCAAATATTTTTTGTGACACTTTTTTTTTACTTTGGATGTATATTTCTATATTTTTTTAACTCTTCTCAAGTGCTTATGTTAATAAGTGTAGGATTGCCTATAAAAAAAATAGAAGAAAATAGAAAATGTGAATTTTTGACAGATGCAAGCAAGCTTTTGTTTAATTATATTGAAAGTGTACCCCTCTTAACTTGGAATCATTGGAGCTTCACCTATTAATGCTGATATCTGAATAGAAATTGTGTTTAGAGGGCAAAACTTTTGGTGTCTGTTATCTGTTATGGAATGATAAGCAGGGAGACTGTGTCTCGCATCCATTTGCAGAGGTTAGTTACTTCCCTTAATCCTGTCGATAACCTTTCTAGAGAGTGAAGGTGTCCCTGGCTTGGACTGAAAAGTTGATTAATACTACTGGCAGGCTCTTTGGCTCAGCACAAACATGACGAAATTAAAGAATTCATGGGTGAGTTTCTAAATGCACGCACTTAATTTATCTTCACATTTGTTGCATGTATTATGAGTATTACCTCATGATCCAAGATGAAGTACTAAAACAGTATAAATATTACCTTTGCGCTAGTGGTATATAGGGTATTAAAACAGCTATTTTGGCCGATTCCAGATGATTCAAGCAAAAAGAAAGTTGGATTAAAAGCTCCAAAGCTTTTATGCAATTTTTATGGTTAATAGCAGTACATTATTTTAGAGGCTATTGTTCAGGAAAGCCTCCCTAGAACCAGTAGTAGTTTATGATTTATATAGACAGTCACAATGGTACAGCTTAAATAACAATTTTAGGGGAAAGGTGAGTAGAGAGAGAAAATATTTGTCATTTTTCTCATGAAAGATTGTAAAATGGCCGTTTTGGGAGCTTAGAAATTTTAGATTAGACTGCTCTTTTTTATTTATTTTAAATATGCTTTTTTTGTTTTTCTTATTGAACATATACTATGTTATATGCAGGTGCAGCAGCCTCATCACGCGGTTTATGGCATTCCCATGCGCTGCTGCATCCTGCAGGCTTTGTTTATAATTCTTGTTGAGCCTCTTACTGAAACGTACGTTCCTATAAATAATTAGAGATGACAAACTCAATTCAAAACCATGAATTTGTCCAATTACACTAATTTAAAACTCGTTTAAGCCATCTAAATTAATAAATAAGTTTAAATAAGTTGGATCTTGCAAATTCAACTATAATTAACTTTAAATAGGTTGGACACAGGTATCTGTTTACAACAGCGACCTCCACTTATGGTTGTAAATGAACAAAGCTTTTCACGAGCTAAACTTGACTCATTAGGTAAATAAACAAATACAAAGTATATTTTTAGGCTTGTTTAATAAACGAGCCAAGTAAAAGGTCAAATAAGCTTGGCTTGTAAAGTTTAGTTTGTTTATTATTTTTTTAAATAATGGGATAAATAAGTTTGGCTTAGCTTACTCAATTCATTTGTAGTCCTATCTTCACCCCACCACTACCGTTGCCCCTAACTCTACGATTACTGACAGCACCACCTCTACTACACCACCATCACTACACCTCCACTCCCATCACATCACCGCCACTATTGCCGTCACTACAATTATTATAGAAAAAAATCAATAAAATAAAAAGGTTAGTAGGGTTTATTTATTCAACCTGTTTATTAAATGAGTGGGGTTGGGCTTATTTTTAATGCTCAACTTATTTTGATTTCTCCCAACCCACCCATTATATATATCTATAAACACACCCTCATAAACAATTACCCTTGGATAAGTATGTCATCCAAAGAGTATGGATAATGTAATAGAGGTGGTGTCTTTTTTCCTTTTTTTTTTGGGGTCTGGAATTGGAAGAAAGAGAAGAGGTGTCGAGTATGGGCAAGTAGGGAAACCTTGCTAATATTATAAGATGTTGAATGGTGGTTGGTACTGGTGGTGGGGGCGTGAGACCTCCTCGGTGGACACGCAGCAAAAAGTACAAGGCATTCTTTCCAGTAAAAAAAGGTGCGCATGTGGTCAAGAAGATGGAGAAGTTAGAAAAATTATGGTGTGTACTATATGTATCTTATAATTATAAAAAAAAAAAAAAAAAATGAGTTTGTGAAAATGACAAGAATGCCCTAAGCTCCCGCATATTTTAAATATATATATATTTGGTCTTGCCATTATTTTTTCAATTAAAACGAGTCCTAAGCATGATAAACATGCAAATGACACGCAGCAAAAAGTAAAAGGCATTCTTTCCAGTAAAAAAAGGTGCGCATGTGGTCAAGAAGACGGAGAAGTTAGAAAAATTATGGTGTGTACTATATGTATCTTATAATTATAAAAAAAAAAAATAGTATAATTTCATATTTTTGTGAATCATAATTAAAAAAAAAAAAAAAAATCCTAACCAAATATTACATGAAGCATAACTAAACATATATATGGTATAAGATGTGTATGATAGAATTCTCCTAAAACTCTTCATAAAGTTCAAAGCTACTTAAAGGCCAGTTTTGACCCTAAACTTAGCTTTTACACTCTAATGAAATGAGTAAATTTGCTATAAAAATTACCCACACAGCTATAATTTTATCTCAACAACTTCATAACAAGACTCAATACTTTCATTATTAATTGTTGATGGAAATGAAGTTAGAGATTATTTAATTTAAGTAATCAAATTGACACATCTAATATACTGAGAACCAAAATAATTATACTTTGAAGACCATTTATGTAATTAACCGTACTAAAAAATATTTTTGGGATGATGATTTCTTCAGCAGGTTTGAGATATGGAATTGTGGATGGAGGTGGAAGTTGATAGGCACGGGGCTTTTGAATTGATTTAATTCTACTTTCTGTCTCTTGAAATGGAAATGATTGGTCCAAGTTTTATTAAAAACCAATGCCACATAAGCATCCCCTTCCATGTTTCCTCCAACATGCTGAAGTGGGTATCATTCTCACCTTGACATCATCATCACCTCCATGACCTCCATGAGAGAGAGTGAAAAAGAACTCTTATCAGGTTCCCAATTCCAATTCACTTTTTTGTGTTTTCAACATTCGTTCAGTTCTATTCTAGCCATTATGTGTTGTTCCCTTTTTGTGTATAGAATAAATCAAAATTAGTAAGTGACTATATGGGGAAAAAACTATGGAGTATGGAGGGGGTTTAGGATTCAAATTTCATCGCTTATCAAATAAATATGAACTAAATCTTTTTATTTTTAATTCCAGAGCTATGGTAAACACCTGAAAATGGTAGAAAAAATTTATCTGTTTCTTGATAAGTATCGCAAATGATCTTGATATTTGACTTTCTATGAAAAAATAAATAAATGATATTTACATAATTAGAGTAACATTGTCAAATTATGATATTTTAACATTATCACGTGTCAAAATCTGATTTTTGATATTATGATTTTATGGGGAAGAGAGAAGTATGGCTGCTAATGACAGAAGTCCTCATGAATCTGCATTCTGCCATCCGACTTTTCTCTGAAAATTCCATATGAATTTCTTGGAAGAAATTATTACATTGGTGTGCGGGGGTGATTTCCGCACTATGAAGAAGGGTTGAACTTCGTGAATGAACACCGTGCTCCGGGAATTGAAGATCTGCACAGAGTAACAAACGGTGAGGCTGCCCGACCGGGGTTTGGTCGGAAACCCCTCCGATGGTAAAGTCAGGGACTCAGGGAGAGGAAAAAGAGAGAATACAAAGAGTATATGTGTTGAGTGTGTCCATTTTCGGATCCCTTCTGAGTGAATAGTGTTCACCTTTTATAGGAGAAGGTTGTTTGTCGTTCAAGTCCTTCTCTCTCCGCCATCTGTCCAACGTGTCTTATTCGTGGTCGTCTCCTATTGGAGGAGGACGACCACTCCGCCTGACACTCGGGTGCAGGTCTGTTTTGTTTGTCTCATTAGCGGACATCTCTCATGGGAAGAGGACGCCCCCCCCCCCTGCCATTCAGACGCAGGTCTGTCATATATGCTCCTTGTCCCTCTGCACCTCCATGTCTCCACGTTATGTTCATACAGAGGGAGAGGAGCAGAGTTGTTTGTCTCTAGTGGACCCAAGAAAGATCTTCAGTGAATTGGCCTTCTCTAAGTTGGTCTGCTCTAGAACGGTTGTCCAACCAGGAGGTCCAACATGTTGCTCAACCCACTTCGGAGTGGTTCTGTCCATCCAGAAGGTCCACCATGTTGCTCGACCCACTTTGGAGTAACGCTCGTACATTGGGCCGAACTCCTATGATTGTCTTACTTCGGAGCAAGTGTTGGCTATAGGGCCGAGGTCCGACCTAGCTCCACCTTGGAGTGAGTATTGCATTGGGCCTAGCACCAAGACTTGATTAATTTTCACCCACTTCAATTGGTTTTCATATTCGCCAATTTTTCTGGGGAAAATGGGAAAGAAAATCCTGTAAAGCTCCTTTCTATTGAGTATGGACCAGAGTGTTATCCACTACTACTATAGGTCATCTGTACAGTGTAATCTTTGTCCTATATGTAGTATGCTTTTCTTTGGGGGTAAAACAAATGCCAAAAATAGTGGGATTGTAATTCTTAAAAAGCAGCTCATTGTTGTTGCTCTCACTTTTCATTTTCAGAAATATATTCACACCCCATCCCCACTTGCTGACTCTGGCCAAGACAGGAGAGTGAGACCCAACTCTGAAGCAACAGAAGTTGTATATAATAACAAAGTCTGATTCTATACACATATTATTGAATTATGAAATAAAATATAAAATCTAATTGATTTAAAGTATATTAAATTTACAATTTTAAGTAGGGCTAACACTCTATCAAAGGTATGTAAACAAATTCATTTTGTTAAGTCATGGGATTTCAATTCATAATTTAATTTAATACTGTCACTAGTTTTCGTGACGCATGACAAAATGACAACATAGCAACAAAACTAAAAATATGAGGTTCAAGTGAAACTATTGCAAAATTTTTCTTAATGGTGCAATTTGTCCTAATAACAACAAAGAAAACAGCACTCTCTTCATAAAGACACAGAACTGAGCAACCCCTTTTTGCCTCTCTCTCTCTCTCTCTCTCTCTGTAGCCTCTTTCCTCTTTATACTACTGAAAGTCATGCCATCTTCTTCACAATGGAAAACTATGGCATTGCCATTGGCCATAGTATTGTTTGAGGGGCTAATCCTTGTGATGGAAGTAGAATCTTCTCTGTTGTCTACAATGGATAGGATTAATCAGCTACCAGGGCAACCCCAAGTCAGCTTCGAGCAGTATTCTGGGTACGTGACTGTTGATGACAAGAAACAGAGAGCTCTGTTCTACTACTTTGTTGAAGCAGAAATAGATCCACCTTCCAAGCCTCTTGTTCTCTGGTTAAATGGAGGTTTCTTCAACTTCTCACTTCCTCATGCACACCCCCTACACATGTCTATTCTATTATACAAAGTGTACAACCTATTTCTTGTGAATGTTTTCTGAAACTGTGAATGAATTTTTTTTCTTTTTTCTTTTTTCCAAACCTATAATTTGGTTAATTTAAAACTCTACATTCAGTAAAATAGTTGCTAAATGATTTTCAGATTTAACCCATCCTTCTCATTCGTTAAATTACTCAAAATTTAGAAGTAAACTTGCAAAAACATTGCATTTGCACTGGTTAAGTAGCCAACTTCTCCAAAAGCTTAAGTTGTTAACAATGTATCAAGCTATTCAACACCCTCCTTCCTGTGCAACCCCATCTTGCACGATACATAGAGAGAGAAGAGAATGCAAACGAAACCAAATGCAAATGGAGATAATTCAACCCAAAACTTCTCTCAATCTCAACTCTGAAACCTTGTTAAAGTTACCAACTTTCCCGAAGCTTAAACTACTATGAAATGGTCCAAAAATGTATATCAAACTGTTCAACAACAACCGCCACTAATATATATATATATATATATATTGCAAATGGTATGTATTTAATATTATTGGGTATCTAAATTTTGTTTTGATGTTGATTGTAGGACCTGGTTGTTCTTCGTTGGGGGTTGGGGCATTCTCTGAAAATGGGCCTTTTAGGCCTAGTGGGAAGGTACTGGTCAGGAATGGATACAGCTGGAACAGAGGTAGTGTATTGTATTATTGCCTTTTTAAGTTGTGCACAAGTGGGTATTTTGAAGCAATGCATGAACTGATCTCATGTGATTGTGTGTGTTTATTGATTTGCAGAAGCAAATATTTTGTATTTGGAGACACCAATTGGAGTTGGTTTCTCTTACTCAACTGATTCTTCCTCTTATGTAGCTGTCAATGACAAGATTACAGGCATGTCTCTCCAATTTTATCCACATTTACCCAACTTTCTTTAATTTCATCACATTGATCATTTCCAAAACCAAGTTTTCCGTAGAGTAAAAAAATGAAGTCCTCGTGTATATATTTTCTAAAAACATCTCTATACTCAAATCACAAGTCAACTTGTTGGAAAATGCAACCTATAATTTTTACCTCAAAGTGAAGTGTATGATGTAGATTCAAAGTTGGTATGATGTGGGTCACATCCAAAATGAATGTGGTCCATAGATATATTTTTCTGAGTACGTAGCCTTGTTTTCTAAGAGTTCTTTATTATATTTTTTTTGGGTACAAGTTTTATGAATCTTATCGGGGTGTAGTACTATGTAAGTTTTCAATTTAATTTCATGTTCAAAGTTCACCTTTTTTTATTTTTTCTTTTTTTCCTCTACTTGGACTAGAAAAAAGTCCCACTTTACAGATAGACAGACAGCCTTTGAATTCTGAACTCTTTGTCTCTGTCTTTGTTTTTCCATTATAGCCAGGGACAATCTGGTGTTCTTGCATAGATGGTTTGCCAAATTCCCACAATACAGAAATAGAAGTTTGTTCATTACAGGAGAAAGTTATGCTGGTAAATAACTTTCACTAAAAAAAATATTTTTCTAAAATCAGAATACTTAAGATAGAGTTAACGACTAATTGTTTTGCTCGCTTACGAACAGGTCACTACGTACCTCAACTAGCAGAACTTATTATTCAATTCAACAAGAAGGACAAGTTGTTTAATTTGAAAGGAATCGCCGTGAGTAATCTAGTGATGAAAAATTCAATCTTTTGGTTGTAAAAAAAAAAACCCAATTGAATTCTTGTTGATTTATGAACACTTTCAACACGATTTTATGATCTGTATTTAAGTTTTTTACTTGACTGCAGTTAGGTAATCCAGTTTTGGAATTCGCAACTGACTTTAACTCGAGGGCTGAGTTTTTCTGGTCTCATGGACTGATATCGGATTCCACCTACAAATTGTTCACTTCCACTTGTAACTACTCACGTTATGTGAGCGAGTACTATAGGGGCTCTGTGTCTCCAACTTGTTGAAGAGTCATGAGCTTAATAAGAATTGAAACGAGTAGATATGTTGACAAGTATGATGTTACCCTTGATGTCTGTATATCATCTGTGCTCTCCCAATCCAAAGTCCTCACTCCCCAGGTGAGTTCAACCAATTTTTTTCATTTTCCAACTTTACTTTGTGATCTAATTTGAAATTTGTAATCCATTCTGATTTGTTTTCTATAATTGGACAGCAAGTTGCAGACTGTAGATGTATGTGTGGAAGATGAAACTGTAAGCTACTTAAATAGACGAGATGTGCAGAATGCTCTCCATGCACGCCTTATAGGAGTCAAGCGATGGCTCGTTTGCAGCAAGTAATTCTCTTTCATAAATATCAATAATTAACCAGTCTTACGTTGATATATTAAAATAGAAAAACCAAAATCCTCCTAAAGCACTTTTGTCAATTAGCTAGCTTTTAAGTTGAAGCAGCATAAAAAAATACCAAATCAATTATTCCGAATTGTAGGGTGTAAATTTGAATAACAAAACAATCATGCCTCCATTGAGAAGGCTGGATGTTGTCAAAAGAAAAGCTTAGGAAGGATCATTGGAAAATTTAGCTGGTTGTTCTGCCCCCACTTTACTGCAAGAATTTCTTTACAAATGGAGTGATAATGCACTTCTGTATTCTTGAATGCACCACTTTTGCTACAAACTGAGTTCAATTACACCTAGATCAATTTGTAAATGAAACATGTCACTGTGAAGAGTTTTCTTGAACTGTGTTGTTTCTTTGGTGAAGTTGTTTAATTCATTTTTTCTGATCCATGGATATCAGTATCTTGGATTATGAGTTGCTTGACTTGGAGATACCAACAATCTCTATCGTGGGAAAACTCATCAAATTGGGAATCCCTATGCTGGTTTACAGGTATTGCCACTGAACTTCAAAGCATAAGATTCTATGTAGTTGTTTTAGTTGATTTTATGTTTGGTTTAAATCACAGTGGAGATCAAGATTCTGTTATCCCATTGATTGGAAGTCGAACGTTGGTTCATGGACTAGCAGAAGAGATAGGGCTGAAAACCACGGTGCCCTACAGAGTTTGGTTTGCAGGGATGCAGGTAATTCATGCTAAACACTTTGTTTTTTGTTTTTGTTTTTGTTTTTTGGCATTCCTAAAATTCACCAGAAACCTAGTGAAAAGTAGGTATTTTCTCAATAAAGAGAAATTTCCCCCAAAGATGTTTTGATTAATCTTCTCTTTCAGGTTGGTGGATGGACTCAAGTCTATGATGATGTCCTTTCCTTCGCCACCATTAGAGGGGCATCACATGAGGCTCCTTTCTCTCAACCCGAGCGATCGCTTGTGCTGTTCAAGGCATTTTTGGGAGGCAGGCCTCTACCGGAAGCATTCTGATCTATCTGATTAATCCCAATTGAGATTGTAAGTAAAGTTTGATAAGTGAATGCATTGTTGATCTTTGAGAATGAAATTTTTTGTTTGTTTGATTGCTAGGTTTGTCCATGTTATGGGACTTCCAAATCAAAGAATTTTGTAAAGGTCTCAAGAAATGAAACAATATTTTGCCATATTTCTTCTTTCTACCGATGTGAATGAAAGGGTAAGGAAATGTGAATGAAATATAAATCTCTACTCGAATCCAAGATCCAAACACAACATAAGAGAACCGAAGGTCAAATTGCTCGAAAATCAGCTCAAGCAATGTATTTAATCATAGAATCTTGAAACAATTATACAAAAAATTGCAGCTCAAGACAACAAAATTCCACGCACAATCAAATTATAACACACAAAATCGAAAGGATAACTACAAAGACTTGTTACAATCAACAACTTCTAGATGTGTTCTTAGAGCAGGGAAAAACTATAATAGGAGCTCCAACCTGCATTTTTAGACAATTGAACTCCAGAGCTAAAATTGGCTTCGATAACATGACAGATATGCTAAGGTTTCTTTCGTTTTCTCCAAGCTCTCTGGTCATGGAATCCACAAAATTGGAACTCTGCTGTTCAGGAGACTGTTCAGTGTCATTTTTTGGTTTCACAGGCAGTCCTGACACCTTTGCAGGATGCACCGCTCTTATCCTGCATGAGATAACTGTATTAAAGCACGTGAAATATATCTATTTAAAAAAAAAAATTATATCATTAGAATCAAATAACATAATTTGTTTGCAATCAGACTGAGCTTGCCTTGGAGCCTAGGAGTACAACTAACCTGCACTCAATTTGGCAAGAATACTTGAGAAGATGAGGATTATACTCTGTACGGCCACTGCAATTTTACAGAACGGAAAAAATTTAGTTTTTTTTCTAAAGCAG